TTCTGATTTATGCTGAAAATTTACAAATTAGCTTCGCAAGACGGGAGCAAATAGGCGTAGACTAATGCATTTATTAAATTAAAATACATTATGTATGCAAAATTTATCATGACGGAAATAATCGAATAATCGGAAAAATAAGTAAGCTATTAAAATTGGTTACACTAATATAAGTAAAATCGTAGGTGCATTTGTGCAAATGTTGTATACCTTTGAGTATAAATACCCAAGGGTTGACAACTTATGTACCACTCCACCTTCATGTAGTATGTAGTATGTAGTATACATTTTATATATAAAAATATGTCTTTTCGAACTTGAGCTTGAACTTAGCCAAAATTTTACCGATTTAGCTGCCGATTGTGAAATACAAGTATTAAGTTGCTCATTCCGCCTCAAAAAAAATTATTGAGCTTAAGTTGATGCTGTCTTTTGAGAACTAAAACTTTACTTTTGAGATGAAAATTTTATATCTTTCCTGAAAGGTTAAAATTTGCCTTTTAGGATAAAAGAGACCTTGCTAACGTATGCTTTGTGATTTGTAGATAATTGAAATATGAGCTCCTTGTATTTTGCGGCCATAAATTGATTTCATAAAACACTTAGGAATTATTTAGGATAATAACTGTAGGGGAGACTGGGTGCGGTTGTGCCAGGGTACAGTAGTGACAGTATGACTGCTGTCACTACTGTACCACTACTACAGGTGAACCATACTATAATTTTGAGATAGGGTCCAAAGTGAGAAAAATGAAGTATGCTCTTTCGAACAAGTTTTCAATATTGCATTAGATCAGCGCCCTACATTAACAATATGTAGACCGCATTGCTTTAAAAGAGTCAAAAATAGGCAAGTTTTTTTGCTCGACAGATAGATACTTTTGTTTGTTATTTTGCTGTAAGTTGAACACTGGTAGTTAATTACCAGCAATTAGTTTTTGCGTAGACAATTTAGTTCAGATATAATAATGATTTGTTTTCAAACATGTGCGTTGGGTACGATTGCGACAAATTTGTGGGTTCCATTGTGATATGTATTTCATGTCCTTTTCGGGCGAAAATTAATCAGATAAAAAAATCTAACTTAACTAACTTACGTTTAAAATTTTTGTGTTTAGTTATATATTGTTATATTCATAAGCTTTATTTAAATGATTATGTTGAATTGTGTTACATATTTCGTTCGTATTATTTTGGTGTTTATAGCTAATGTTTTTTAACCTATTTTTTGCGTCCACACCCCAAGGAAGGTTGTGACACTCATCCTTTCTTGTATGATTTGATTTTATGACTAAATTTAAGGGCAGTATTTCAGTATTTCCATGAAGACAAATGTTCAAATTATTATTGTTCAGTTAAAAAAAGTGAAACTAAAAATGTATTTTATTTTACTTTATATATTTAAAATTCATGCGGGTTAAATCATTTTAGAACAATAAATATTTTACGGAATATGATGGAAATTTCTATAACTATATTACTAATGTGATCATACGTCCCGGTCTGGCCGGGACTGACCCGCATTTTTACCTTGTGTCCTTGGTTTTTCTAAAAGCAATATTTGTCCCGGATTTGGATTTTTGTCTCGGATTGTTCCGAGTTTTTTTTTATGTTTTTATGTTTTTATGTTGAAAAATCAACAAAATCATGAAAACGAACGAATAAGCGTAAATTTTTCTAGGGTTAATAAAGTGCAGTATAACGACCTATAAATTTTGGGTAAAATTTTGGTGATGACGTCATTTACATAAGTATAAGATATTTTCTTGCAGCTCAAATGACTATTTCACTTAATTTTCAATTTAATATACATAACCAAAACAGGGAATGCCATTATATCATCGCATTGTGTTTTATGGTCGAATAAAATATACAAGCAAGTAAACTTATTTTATGTGAAAATAAAGAAAATTATATTTATGTAGGATTTTAAGTATTTTACACTATAATAACAAATAATTACCAACGACTTGTAAATATTGTTTGTTTAGAAATATGAGATAATCATACGCTGGTCGCAGTAATCAACTTGTTTCAAGTTAGCACTTTATGTCAATTCGGCATTCTAAAGTCATAAAGTAACAAAGTTCATTAGAATCCGTCAAAATAAATTATAAATAACACGTTTTATTGTCTAATATTATCTAATAATAAAAACAATTGTAAGTAATATTTGCATTGTTTACGGAAATTGGTTGCAAATGTCTGCTTATGTCCTTTTAAATAAAACGATGCCAAATGAGTTCTTTTACATGTTAAAAATAAATAAAAATCCAAAATTTTTTTTAAATTTTTTCATGAACTTCCGTAATGGGCCCGAAAAACTAAAATGAAAATTTTTGCATATTTTCACGTTTCTGAACATACCTAAGAAAAAAGGGATGTGTGTGTGTGTGTTTTGTGTGTCCGCATTTTTTGTTCACGTTGATTAGAAAGGTTCAAAAAACATTCGATTACTATTGGCGAGAAGACGTGCTGATTAGTTTTTAGCAAAGACCAGCGGTTTCGAAGAAAAGGAGGAAAAATGGTATTATAGTTCTAGAGGTAGAAGAGAGTCATGTTTGAATGATTCAAAAAATATCAGGTTTTGGATATTCAATATATAAAGTAAAATAAAAAGCCATTATGACCAAATATGACAATATTTGTCATAATTGATATGTCTTTAGACATAGGCACATTAAATTATCTGATATTCCATTGAGATTACGCGCTTCGATATTTCCTCTCTACGCAGCTAAGGCAGCGTGATTAATTTGAGAATGGTTAAAAATTTCCTAAATATTTCACAATATAAAAAAATTCAAAATTTTCAAAAATCTTTTTTTTTTTAAAGTTAAAAAAAAAATTAATATTTTTTTAAAAAAATAAATTTCGACACGGCCAGTTCCAGCAATTTGATTCAATGCACGATGCCATGACCCACTAGTTTGTCATATTCTGCTTTTTTATTTTGGCAAAGGTAAAGAAGCATATTAAGCTCAGGAAACGTTATGGGCTGTTTATGGTGCTCAAGCCTTAAAAAAGCACCAGTGTCAAAATTGATTTGCCAAATTTCGTTGTGTTGTTTTTTTGACTCAACTCTCTGATCGTCGCGTTGAGGTTGATGAAAAAGGAATTGCAATGCAATTTAAAAACTAGCTGTAAGTGAAATTCTGTCTTAAGGCAATTAGGGCATCGTGCCTTAAGGCAAATTGCTGAAACTTCCCGTACCAAAAATTATTATTTTTTTAAAAACGGTTAACATTTTTGAAAAAAAATTACTTCGAAAAAATTGGATTTTTGAGAAACTATAAATTTGACAAAAAATTACTTTTTTTCGAAAAAAAAAATTTTTTTGAAAAAAAAATTTTTTTTGAAAGAAAAATTTTTATTTGAAAACAAAAAATTTTTTTGAAAAAAAAATGTTTTCTTCATTTTGACATATTTTGGAAATTCTGATCTTTTTTTCAAAGCAATCGTACTGCTTGAACTGCATAGAGACGAAATGTCAAAGCGCGCAAGTGCCGCGCCGCTGTCTAACGCATAAGCATTGGTACGGAACTCATAGAAATGTAAAAAAAAATTATACTTATTGTTAAAATCTCTATAAAATATCTGATAATTTGATGTGCATATGTCTAATGATCATTTTTAACCGCCGAATGGCATTTTTTTTTACTTTTTTCATTAGATCTCCGAAACCGCTAGACCTGCCTTCATGAAAATTTGATCAATTATTCATCTTGTCAATACAAGTAAAATGTTTTTTGAATTATCCAAATCGGACGCTCCGTTCTCTTAAAAACTTAGTTACCGTTTTCGGCACTTTTTGCCCCGTATCTTCGGAACGGCTAGACCTGCCTTCGCCAAAAACTAATCAGCACGTCTCCTTATCAATACAAATCGAATGTTTTTTGAATTATTCAAATCGGTTGATCCGTGTTCCCGAAATCGTCGACGAAAATTTGTATCCGCACATACATACACACACGTACATACACACACACACACACACACACACACACATACATCCATTTTTTCTAAGGTATGCCAAAATGTTCAGAAACCTCTGAAACGTAAAGATATATAAAAATTTTCATTTTCAATTTTTTTGCGATTACTATAACTTGCCCTACGGGAAGTTAAAAACGGCCTGAATTGGCAATTTGAGACTGTGATTTATTCCATTGTTGACATCACATATCCTGGACACTCCAGAAATTATTGGAGTTTGGAATGTTTTGCCATGTCCACCTTACTCCACATAATCAGCTTTGACCTTGCACCTTCTGATTATTTTTAATTTTGATGTTTTCGAAACTTTTTTGATCTTAACGAAACAGCTTTTGAATGGTAAGCAATTTAAAGAGTACGATGATATCAATTTGTACCTGATTCAGTTTTTTACTAATGAAAACTGAGCGTTTTAAGAACGTGAGTTGATGACACTGCTTGAAAGTTGACAAGCTTGAAAGTCATTGATCAAAATGGACAATCCATTATAAAATAAGATTATTTAGTTCCATGATAAAAATGTCTGACTTTTTAACAAAAAATCGCAATTGCTTTGTTGCCAACCTGATATTTCAAATGTCTTTTGTGCTAAAGTCATTTTACGCAGAGCTTTTACATAATATTTTGAAGCCGGCGCATATTCTATAGATGCACAATTAGGAAATTTATTTCTTTAAATCTTATGCTTAATATTTTTATATATCTTGGATCGAAAATATACTAAAATGTTTCACAGATAATGCACAATAAGAAATTTGATTTAGTTTTATAAAGCTTTGATTGAAAATAAAGCAAGTTTTATCTTTATCAATGAATAGTAAAATGCTGTCGATTTTTAGTTAAAAACGTGTCGTAAGCTTCGAAGAGGGTACTGAAGACGCCATGTAGTCATACGTAATTGCAAGTAATAAATTGTGACTCCTCCATAAATAAAATTTGCATCTGTAATGAGTGCCAGTGCGATGCTTATAAAGAAGCGGCCGTAAGAAAGGGCAAATTGTGGTGCCTAAGTATTTGAAGTGTCAACATGCGGTCTACAATTGTTGTAAGTACGATAATACATTTTGTTCGTATTTTATTCATTAATTTTTTTTAAAAAAATGCTTCGAAAATACTACCGCGAGCAAGTCAAAAATCATACTACTGGAAAGTGATAGTATTTGTAACGTGTGTTAAGAACTTTTTGCGTGAGCTTTAATAGTATTAAAAACGATATTTTGGATGATTTGTGATATATAATAAGCACAAAAATATATTTGATATTTTTTGCATTTTTGTGGTTAGTGAAAATTCGGAAATTAGGATAATTAATTTAATCAAAAAAAAAAACAAGAACTGCGAGAGATTTTATTGTAAGATTTCATGTCTATCGTAACATGGAAAATATAGATAAACAAGAAGACTTGGAAGTTTACATATAAATTATAAATAGTATTATTAATAAAATTAAATAAATATCGCTAAATATTTCTTGTAATAGTAAAAAAACACTTCTGGCATTAAAATTAACTAACGATTATTCAATAAGAATCAAATAATTTTTTTCCAAAAATTTTACTACAAAAATATGTTTTGTAAAATTTAAATAGCCAAGAACCGTTGGAGTACTGAGGACACGTGACAAAAAGCTCTAGAAAATACTTTGTTATACATTTCACATAAAAAGTAAACTATTATATATTTTTTTTCATACAAGTCATTGATTTAGTACAATGTCTCTTGAACTATGGACAATATATTTGCTAAATGTCCTAAATTGGATAGTATAGTTTTATGTAAGAATAAAAAAACATACTATATACGCAGTTTTATAAATGAATAGGTGTATCTGGGTGATAATGAATATAATAGAAATTTATTAATTTATCAATCTTTTATTTATTTTGAAGTAAAGTTTAAAAAATCAAAATAAGTATCACAAAAATCATAGATAAGGCATAAATATAGATAAGGAATAAATAATCGAAAATTATACTATGAATTGAGGGGTCATACTTAAGTAAGCCAGCTATTTTATAATATAAAATATAAACCACTAAATAAAATAATTCTAGATTTTAAAACATAAAAATCGATTTTGTAACAACTCATTTGTAAACAAAATTATTTCACATTCGCAGATATTCAAAATGCTAAATTTTAAAACAGAAAACCGCTTGGTTAAAATCTTTGTAATAATTGAATTATAAAATTATTTAAATTAGGTAGATATTGAAAATGTTAAATTTTAAAATAGAAATCTGTTTCGTTAGAAAAATTTGTAACAACTCATTTGTAAAAAAGAATTATTTAGAGTTAGTAGATTTTTGAAATGGTAGACAGAAAACTGCTTGGTTAAAAAAAACTGGTGTTAAAATTATTTAACACGTTCGCGGACAATAAAAGTTTTAGTAAGATACAAAAATTGACAGTCATTTTATTTTTAAATTGGTTGTGTTATGCAAAATTAAATTAAACACCGTTCATAAGTGCAGTCTTTAGCATCCACGTCAAGTATTACGCTTCTATTTTACGCAATGTGCTTGGCCAAGTTAATTTAAAACTACGGAAAAAATAAAATAATATAAACATACCTAAAGAATCACATTTCATAGACAGGTATAATAATTTAAAATAATGTAAGTTTATATAATATTAAATTCAAAATATCTATTTGACTTTAAATTCTGCATCACAATAAAAATGAATGTTATAGTATTCACGTTCGCGAAAGTGTTAATAATTGCAGATATTTGAAATGCTGATTAGAATTTTAAAACAGAAAACTATTAACTTAAGGGTAGTTTGTAACAACTCATTTATAAAATTATTTATTATCATATTTAAAGTTCTAGATCTTGACATAGAGAACTTTTTGATACTTTTGAATTTAATTTGTAACGATTCGTTTCTGAAATGATTTTACATTCGTAGAGATTCAAAATGCGAGATTGATAAATAGAAAACTTTTGATTACATTTAATTTGCAACAATTCATCTGTATAACTATTTGATGTTTGCACATATATAAAATTGACATATTTGAAAATCTAAAACTGATTGGTTAAATCTAATGTGTAGCTACTCATTTAAAAATTATTAATTTCACCTTGTATCCCGGGATTTTCCACAAGTAAATATTTATCCCGGACTTTTTTGTCCCGGATTGTCCCGGGTTTTCAAAAATAAAAAGGTATCATAACAAAAATTATGGATAGAAACGAACTAATGTCTAAAAAAATGCTAACGTTTTCTAATTAATTATGAAGAAAATGAAAAAAAAATATTTAAAGCTGAAAAATGAAAAAAACATTTATCATAGATAAAAATAATATAGATAAAAAGAAGTAAATTTAATTGAATAATTAAGTTCTTACTAAAAGCCCGTAATTCTGATAAAAAAATGATTCATATAAAAAACAGTTTTTTATTGTATCATTAAATACAATTTGTTATTTTAAAAAAAACCTTACCCCGTCTCGTGGTTACTTAAGTATATGGGCTAACAAATGAATTATCATAGATTTTATAATTACTATTTCTGCATAAATATTTTTCAGATATTGCTATTCGGTCTGATAGCAATATGTTGTGCTCAATTCGACGGTAGATATCGTCCGCCTTCGACGACGCCCCGGTATCGTCCTTTTAGAACCCAAAACCGATACTCCTCCGGGCGTTACACGGACAATTCTGGACGTTACACGGGCGACAACGCAGGGCGCTACTCAGGAGATCCGGGGCGATACCGGGGTAATAACGACGGCCGGTACGTGCCTGATCCCAACGCAGGAAAATATGTTCATAAAGATGATCCATATAAACACAAGAATGTTGGAGGAGGCGATTACAGAGGAGAGTAAGTATTAACATATATAAAACAAAATTTTATTATTATATGAAATAATTATACTCTCATTATAAACATATTAATAAAACAATACTACGAACGTCATAGCAGGACAAGACTACTTGCAAAATTTACCCTCGTAGCTTTCAGAACACATTCTAATTTTTTCTATATTTTGCCAAATCATTAAAGCTTTTTTTGTGAGATAACACACAAATCTTACACCCATAACGTTGTCTAGTTAACCGATATCAATATTTATGATTTTTGCTGGGCTTTTTAACCTGAAATCATCCCACTTTCATACATAGAAGTGCGAACATTATGGGTCCATATGACTTGAAAGTCACATGATTCAAAATTATCAAACTTTTTGTTTTAACAGATTTTTTTGTTTATTATTTGCTTATATAAGTTTATATCAACAAATTTTTTGTTTCCCAATCAATAATTTTAAGGAAGAGTTTTCAAAGGAGCAAAAAACAATGATCAAATCAATACAGTTGTCAATATTTGCATATATATATATATATATATATATATATATATATATGTATATATATATATGTATATTAGGGTGGTCCTTAATATGGTCATTTTCAAATTTTCTTGCTCTTAAAGGCTCAAATGGTTCCAAATTGATAAAAAACAATTCTCTGAAAGTTTTAGCTCTTAATATTGTCTTTTAGATAGAGTGCAATTCAATCAAAGTTTTGTATGGAAATAGCATGTAAAAATATTCAAAAATTTTGCAGAGTGTCAAATTTTCAACAAAAAATGACAGGAATTTTCACTTTTAATTCATTTGTTGCTAAGTTATACATAATTTTTTTTTTAAAGTTAATATTATTTGCTGAAACTTTCAGAGAATTGTTTATTATCAATTTGGAACCATTTGAAACCTTGGGAATTTATTTAAAATATAATTAAAAAATATTAAAAATATTATACATATGAAGTCCACAACTTATAAGTAACGATAAATAAATTTTTTGCAAAAATATCTAATATGTGGTTTTAGATTAGGTTTGATAAATAATTTTAAAAATAATTACATTTTTGCTTTACTATTATAAAAATTACAAAAAACAGATATCTTTAATAAACAATTTTTATTCAAATAATTTTAAATATTTTTATTTAACACTTTTAGTCAAAAATATTGAAAGTACTTAAGATGACCTAATATTATATCAAATAAGGAAAATAATTACAGACTCCAAATGAATTTCGAATAAAATGTTTTTTTCAAAAATCGTAAAGAATAAATTTATACGAATTTATGAAAAAACTCTTTTGAAAATTGCATAAAGTACTTGGTATCTAAAAATAACCAAGTTGATTGATTAACATTAATAATTAAAGTAGTTCCGAATTTTTCAATTTACAACGAAGGAATTAATTAAATATCAAGCACGAACGGAGTTTGCAAATTGCATAAAATTTCTGGTATTTAAAGTTGAGTTCATCAACATTTATAATTAAATTCTTTCTGAATTTTTAAGTTTACGACTGAGAATTGTTTAACTATTAATTTAACCATAATTGAAACATTTATAATATTTTAGGGTAAAATCTTTTAGCGCAATTTCACGAAAAACAAAACGGGAGTAATTATTTTATTTATTAATTGTCAAATTGATAAATTATCAACAAAAAGCTAAAATGTAGGTGTATATATATGCACACACATACATATTCCATTTTTATGAGCTATGATTTATGATGATTTGAAACGTCGAAAAAACATAAAATTTGCAAACACTATTTTCTGGCATAAACTTTCGCTTTTCACAATTTTTTCAAAATGTCATCAAAATTTACACATTATAAATCCGTTTAGTAGCACGTTGATGAGAAAGAAAACGAATTCGGTCACAAATGCCTGGAATGCCTATCCTAGGCATAATATAAATATACCAGTGACTTCCATTTATGTTTAACAAGCGATAAACAGTAATTACCATAATCCGTTAAAAACCAGTAAGGTAATGAACATTTTATATTCAAAATTGCATACATTTCTGAAGATATTCAATTAGATTTTCAATAGCATTTACCGCATCTACTGACACTGCACACTTTGTACAACTTGCTGAATGTGATATATTACCAATTACAGAAACGACAGTGAATATGAAAAATATTTAATGAAGTTTATTTTAGTACTGAATTAATAGTAGCTTAACTATTATTTAGCTAAGAATGTATCAAGTTGTAATTTTTTTTTAATTATCAGAATAGTGTAAAATTTAAGCAACGTATAATAACCATAATCCGTTAAATCGAATTAAAAGTATAAAATAATTTTAATACTTTTTATAATATTACTATATGTGTGTAAGTCCCCTGCTGCTAAGATAAAGGTATAAATTGATAGTAAACATAAAAATAATTTATTAAACTGAATATATTAAATACGAGCAGGGGAGCAAGAGGTTTGTTGAAAAAGTTTTTTTGATTTAATATATCTGGAGAACCAGAAATTTAAATTACATTTCTACGAAATAAAGATGGATAGATGCTGTAACTATTTCTCTACCGAATCAAGTATAAATCATTCCATAACTTTTGTTAATTATTGTACAATTAATCCATTTCTAAAAAAGTGCGGTGTTACAACTTACCCTGTGTTAAGGGCTAGTTATAACATCTACCGGGAGAAGTACTATCTACCAAAAAAACGACAATAATACCATTTATAATTTATTTTTTACTTATTTTTAAAAAAAATTGTTTTGTTTTCATAAATCAACGCAAACTGTGATTAATACAAATAAAATATATACTGTCTCCTGCAATATGAATTTTTATCATGAATCAACGTAAACTGCAATTATTTTAAACAAATAAAAGATGTAGTCTCTCTTCCAATACAATTTACATGTATAACAAACTTTTTTTTACTTCTACCTAATTTTCTTTACTAGATATGTTACAATTACCCCTAAGGTTCTATTTAAACTAAACCCAGGTGTGATTATTTTACATTAATCACGAAACTTATTCAAACAATTAATTCAGCAATCACAAAACTTGTTTCAAATTATCAAAAATGGGTAAATTTGAAACAAAATAAAATTAATAAAATTTAAAATTATTTGATAATAATAACGCAAACCAAAATTTTATGATAGTGCAATTTCATATTCCCTACCAAAAATGACGCACCTGCACAGTTCTGTGATAATATGAAATAATGAGACAATAAAATATTTTAAGGTATTATTGAAAAACGTCTGTTACTACTATTCAATTCGTAAATAAATGAGGAAAGTACCATTTATTTATATTTTTATAAATATTATATTAGAAATAAATTGTAACTCAATCATAAAAAATATTAACATTAGCTACATATCTGAAGAAAGTTGTCATGTTATATAGGTGGATGTCCCTGAGCTTTAACGGTGACAAATTACACAATAATAAACTCTAAATATTTTATTTTAATTTTTTGTATACAATGAAATAAATAAGTTTTAATTTTTAGTCCAGGTCGATATGTTCATGACTCAGATGCTGGAAAATACGTTCACGATGACAACCCTTACAAGCATTTGGACGTAGGAGGTGGACAATACGTTGGAAGGTAACAAAATCTTAAAATATTAAAATGCTAAGTTTGAATAAAATTAAATTTGAAAAATTCAAATTTTAATTTAGTAAATAATTGATCTATTTTGTCAAAAAAGTTCATTTTGGTAAAGTATGATTTAATGCTTTGAAGGAAAGCAATACCAATCAAACAATAAAATTGAGACCTATATTGTCCATTTGTTTTGTCTTGCCCGACTTCTAATTATATATGTCCTACAACTATACTCTATATTCATATACATTTTATTTTATAGTCCCGACAAACAAAACCCTTACAAAGGCCAAAAAGACAAACAATACCCTTACAAAGACAAGAATTATGGTGGTGATGGCGGTGCAGGCGGTGCCTATGATCCAAATGCTGGAGCTGGTGCTGGAGCAGGTGGGGCAAAAAGACCTGGCAGCGGTTACAAACCCAGTCGCGGTAAAGGAGACTACGGCTCATTCCAAAAGGAATACGATATAATTCATCTTGCCCGAAAAGGATACAGGGACGGATACCATTATACGTAAGTTGAATTCTAAGAACTATGTAGGATTGAAGAATTTAATTTGTAATGTCTTACAGTTGAATGCTATAGTTAAAAATATAAGTAGAATTAATTGCATTATTACGTTCATGGTGCAATGGCTGTAGTACGTTTTTTTCAGAAATATTTCGGTTTTTGTTATTTGATTTTTAATTTTAAGGGGCACAACTAGTGTAACCGCCTAAAAAATTGTGATTTTTGGGAATTTATATCGAAAAAACTACTTTATCAATCATTTCAAAATTTTAGGAATATATTTATGCATGTTTTAAAAATACATAGTAAAATTTTTTGAAGAAAAAAATTTAATATTTTTTAAGTTATAGTCGATCTCTAACGGCGCGACAGAAAAGGCCCTTCACTGCTGCAGTGATTCCGGTCTTCTACGTGGATGAAATTTAAAAAAAAATTCTCGTTAAACTAGATAATATTGTCTGTAAAATGAACTACGATAAAGAAAAAAAATAAAAAATTGACAAAATGACGGCGTTTTTTAAAAAAAGTCGAATTTTACCCAAAATTTTGGTCGTTTTTGGACTGCCAAAATTCGATTTTAGATCCGATCGAAAAATCGGTAGTTCATTTTACGGAAAACTATATATAAAACATGTAAAAAAAATTTGATAGTGATCAGATCATTTGGTTTTGAGTAATCGCTGCAGCAAATTCGGAAAATGCTGTTTTGAGAAAAACGCGTTTAAAGATAAAATGATCGTTATACTATTTAAAAGTATAAATAACTATTTAAGATATCGATTTAAAATTTTGGTATGTTATTTTTAACAGTATAACCTATCAAAATATGGAAAAATTGAAAATTCGATTTTTTGAAAATTTCACACTAGTTGTGCCCCTTAAGTTTTGTAGTTAAGAAATGATTTCATTTTCAACCAGTAAAAATGTTATTATACGATATGGAAGTGTAGTGAAAATCTTATTTATTTAATTTATTTAATCAATTTCCGGTAGTATATAATGAAATAAAATTAAATAAATTAATTATAAAAATAATTTTGTATAAAATTTTGTGCAAGTCGTTACGATTGTAAAATAGTCATAATTTTTTTTGCAAGAAAAAATAAAAATTAGATCAATTAAACAAGGTAAATATCCACAACTTATCCGATATACTTCACATAACTTTTGAACAATATCTATGTTATTTTGGACTTGGACTAGCAAAAATTAGTCCCGGGTTTGCAGGTTCGATTCCAGCCAGCCACAGCCAAGTCCAACATAAGGCGGCTTTGATATCAAATTTGGGTTATAGATCTCAAATATAATTATCAAGTTAGTCATAACTGTACTGGACAACTTTTGGATTGCCTTCTATTCAAAAATCCGTATAATCATCCATCATCCATAATAATAAAAAAAATTGATAACTGCCAAAAACTATCCAAAATATTTAATATTAGTACATCATAGACCGCATGATACATTTATTATAAGATCTGTGGTTCTCATACAAGGACATAATTTTCCAATTTTCGTGACAAACGATTCAGAATGACTTAAAACGTCTCAAGATCTTTAAAACAATATATAATAATTAATTACAGTTACGAGACAGCTAATGGTATTCTGGCCGAAGAGACCAGTCAAGACGCAGTGGTGTCCCAGGACGGTTCCTCCAGCTCCAGCAAAGCTGGCTGGTACGAGTACACCGGTCCTGATGGAAAACTTTACCATGTTGACTACACGGCAGGTGAAAATGGTTTCGAACCCAAAGCTGACCACATACCCACCATCCCACCTCTGATACAAAAAGCCTTGGATTGGCTGAAAGCTCACGAAGATACCTCAAAGAATTAACATCGAGTTGTTCAAATTAGTATACGAATTTTATGTTTAGATGATTGTACATGAAATATGTTTCTTGGCTAAGTTATGCTAGTTATTTTTAATATTACTAAAAGAAATATTATAATTTTTACACATTTGTCATCAAAGAGCATGCAATAGATATTGATGTTTAAAAATTATTTGTTTTAAGGGTAATTATATCGATGTATTTTAAATCAAGTAGCACTTTGATTATGATTATCCTTAATATCAATATATATTCATAACTATTAGTTAATTTTTTTGTTATCACATGTAAGTTATTCCAAAATATAGTAACAGTTAATTAGGACCAAACATAAAAAAAATATTTAAAAACAATTTATCTTGAATTGACTGTAATTTTGATCTTTAAAATTTTCATATAACGCATTACCTAGTACAGAATATATTGCGCATAAAAATTTTAGTAATAAAGTTATTACAATAGCTAAGATTAAAATATATAATTTGAAAAAATCAAATACAACAATTTTTGTGATCAACCCAATTCAAGTATTGATACTAAATAAATTTGTATACTTCAATAATATCGCAATAGAAATGAAATTAACAACAGGCATATATGCATATATATATATATATATATATATATATATATATAGTAATTACAAAATAGAATTTTATTTGATTATAACACAAGCTAGTTGAATGTTAAACTATTCAAAAACAAAATAATATTACATAATAAAAATTAATATTTACGATCAATGGTTTTAATTGTGTGGATGATTTTAATTATGTGAATGTATTCTCTAAGACGTTTATAAATATCAAGTAAATATTACATATTCTATTATTACAAAAGAAATGCTACACACGTGGTCAAGATTATAACTTAAAGCATCCTTGACATTTTGCATAAAATTCCAATAATGAACTCTAATCGAAAATATATTCGCACAATAAAATGCACATATTTGATGTCAACGCAATATGGTTTCAAGAAATATTCATTGACAACATAGAATGATTTAATTGGCAAAAGAATTTGTGGTTATTATATAAACTTGAATATCGCTCATAAGAAGGAAATGAAAAATTGTTGCTCTTGTTTTTGACCAACATACTATTTAGTAAAGATGGGTGTGTGTATGTGTAAGAAGTAAAAAATGAACTAAATTTTTGTTAAGGCAGGTCCAGCAATTTCGAAGGTAAAACAAAACGTTTTAATAATTGCAATTCGGTAGTTAAGAATTATCATTTATAGAGATTTTAGTAATAAAAACTAATTTCATTTTCATTTTGTTTTTGGTTCCATACCAATTTCCTTAATTAACAAAATTCCCCTGTTAATACTTGGGAATTTGACGATGAAACTTACTCACAAACCCTATAGTTTAAAATTTCAAAAATACGTCTTACAAACAATTAAAAATTAAATTTAAACATAATTTTTACTGTGATAATAAGATAAAAATTACAGGTTTTACGTTACGTTTTCACAAAAACGCTATAAATTTATTTGTTGCAGTCGAGCTTTGAGTCAATAATTTGGTGTTTGTCTTATATTATTTAATTTCTATTAATCAATTGATGAAGACACACACACGATGTATTTTGATTCTTATATAGTTTCCTTATATAATTTTTAATATTTATTAGTTAAATATTGGACATATAATTAGCAATTAAAACAAAAAATATCTAAAATTTAATTTTAAATTAAACCCGAACTTACTCTGATTTCACAAAATCAATGAAATTTAACTATCCTGACCTCCTAGGCGCATTTAACAACAGAATATTGTATTTGGGAATTTGAAAATTTATATTAGCCTTGTAATTTTTCCAAAAAATCATTAGTATTTTAAACTATAAACAGATAATTATATTATTTCGATTGTCAGATTGCCCATTAAATCATGCTTAAAAATTTAAATCACTCACCATACGCCAACAGACACCGATTCTTCTGAAACATCCCAATTAACAATTTCCTGAAAATGAACATACACATTAAACATATAAGTTTAAGATTTTAAAATTATTCTCATATTATTCTAAAATTATTCTAATATGATTATTATATTACATAGAGATTTTCAGAAGAAGTCTAATCAGGATCTGGACATACCGCCGGTTTAATATGAATTGAACACATTTAAATACACATAAAAGAATTGAAATAACTAATAGTTTACATAATTGTATGCACTCACATTGCACTAAAACAATCCTACCATAATCACTAAAAAAAATTACACTGACACTGAAAATCGAAACTTTTAACTATTTAACTCATCAAAACGATCATTAAAATAAAAACTAGCGCGAACTATAATGATTTATGTTCGATTGTATTTATGTATGATTATTTAAAAAAGCAAAATCACAGTTTATAAATTTATCAACGAGCACGAAGTAATAAATGAACAATTTTTCTTTAAACTAGGCGTAAAAGACAATTTGCCTTTAGGCAACTTGCATAAACGTCTCAATATGTGTAAATTATCGACTTAATTAATAGAAATTAAGATTCAAAAATTATATTTCACTTTTCAAACAAACTTATAATATTGTAATTGTATGAATTAATGCACAAGCACGCGCTTGCACGTTCTTAAAGAGCCATATTTTATTTCGTACAACCGCTTTTCGTAAGCCTCTAATATTTTTAGGAATTTTGTTTTGATCTTGAACTCTATTGCCATCTTAGTTTAATTCAAAATGCCTAAAAAAATAATGTATCTAATAATAAATCATTATGAAGAGCAGCTCGACCGATCTTTGCTTAAAATGAACCAGCACTATTCCCAAATAATATATTTTGAGCGGTTTTCACATTTTCAAAATCGATTCAAAATTTTTTTTGCGAAAACGTGGACGAAATTTTTTTTTGACTCGGACAATGGTTTCGTAAAACTATAATATTATTTCGCAAAGTCCATATCCAGTTACATGGACTGGCTATTTAATTTTTTAAATCAGTGCAACTGTTTTTGAGACAATGTAGACAAAAAGTAAAATATTGGCTCGTATTCACACAAACAGTCGAAATTTAGCCTCAAACGATTCAGAATGATTTAAAAACGGCTGGCTCCGGAAAACAAACTTAGCAATTCTGATTTTCCTGGTTAAACAAACTTAACCTTCGAGAGATATTATATAATACAAACGAACTTTTATTGGCTCCAAACTTCAGAAAATCTACCAAGGCAATATTCTCTTAATTATCTTTTAATGAACTAATAAAATAAAAAATAAGTATGTACATATTTTTGAGATTTTAATAATATTTCTGAAAAAGGCCTTTGATTTAAGAATTAAATATATAAGTTGTAAATAATAATCTAATGGATTGCTAAACATCATGGACTATGATTCATTAATTTTATGGATGCAATGCGAAATTTTATATAGCTTACCCTTTGAATTGGAACAGAGGAAATAATTGTTGAGCAAATGTCGGATGCACGTGTTTTTTCTAGATATAGAACTTAATATATGATTTAATTGGTAATACGATATGATAATATTGGTAATATTATCATATCGTATAATATACATTACCAATATTGGTGAGAAAATATCAATGCTAATGGACTGTTTGAGTACGTTGATTTAATTGTATTATATATATTTTAATTTTTAGTTTAATTATCAATGTTCTTTTTAATTATTTTTGTTTATATTATGAAATAATTAGGATTGTGCATTGTGAACATTTATAATATGAAATAATTAGGATTAATTCAATTACATGTAAGTTCATACCATATCACTTCTTATATATTAGTTTTATTTAATAATTTCTATCTGTTCTTTCAATCTAGAGTCCACTGAAGATGACACAAAACAATGTGTCGAAACGTATGGAAAAACTAAAAATGTTTTAAAGTCATACAAATTTTTTAATGGATGTATTGCCCTGAATTTAATTTGAAAAAAATTAAATTTTTGAAAATCGAAAAATTTTATAAACATTTTTTATGTATAACTTAGCGACAAATGAATTAAAAGTGACAATCATTTTTTATGCGCTCTGTAAAAAAGGTTTCTATAATTATAAGTTATATTAAAAAAAAACCTATTTAAAATTTTTGAAAATTTTCCATGCTATTTCTATACAAAACTTTTATTGAATTGCACACTATCTGAAAGACAATCTTAAGAGCTAATATTTTCAGAGAATTTTTTTATAATAATCTGGAAGCATTTGAGCCCTTGGGAGCAAAGAAATTCAAAAATGTCCAGATTAAGGACCATCCTAATACATATATATATATATATATATATATATATATATAAATATATATATTTATATATATATGCATTTGATTTGATTTAAAGTAGAAATGTGCGAGTATTATTTAAAAACTTGAATACAACATAGATTATTAAACATAATCTTAGTATTTCATTATTCATTGAATTGGCAGCTACATTATTCATTCCAATTCAGTTTTGCACTTTTCCCATGAAATTAACAATATTCAAATGACTTAATTTCAATTTGATCAAAGTTTCTGCTGACGACGTAAATATTATTACAAGAATTGAAATTTCAATCGAGCAGTTATATGAAAGATTTACATCGCTGTGGTCTATGTTTTGATTTATATAGTTGTTTGGAAGAATCTTACCTTAGCACATTAAATATTTTCTGCAATTAAACACGTTACCTCGGCGTACCAACAATCATTGTGGGGATTATTTATTGAATATATGTTGAACTTATGCAGCACGATACTGAAGAAATACTTCAGTCATACCAAAGGTATGAGAAATTGCGGATCCTCTTCGTAAATTCACAATTTGCATGTTAATTGTTTTTAATGTTAGATATAAAGAAGCTCCATGCTCTTTTGTAAAATACTTTGTACCAATTGTGGAACGGTGTGGAGTAACGATATGAAGTGCGTGAAATATTGCGTAAGTGGAGCTACAGTTTTAATTTATTAATGGCAATGCATAATATTAAATGTGATTATGCAAAATATATTAAAAGTTTTGGTGTTATATTTAAA